TCACTGCTCAGGCCATAAGTCAAATGCTTTGAACAAAATCTTTAAATATTAGTCATTGCCATTTACCCCAGAACATCCGTGCAACTCAAGACTCAAATTTCAATATTGTTTTAAAATATATGTTTTGGAGAAGCTTGAAAGACCTTCTTTCTACCGAAACAACCTTGGTATTCCCAATACAATAATCTCAGACCATTTCAATCATTAGTAAATAGAAAGTATGTGAACTGTTACTTGAAATACTTGAAAGGTTGGAACTAGAAATTCAAGTAAAATTGAGATGTGAAACGAAGCGAAGAACATTGAACAAGAAAAATGCATTTGGTATCACTACCCACTGGACTGTGGATACTCACGGTAATTAGAAGTGTTGAAAATAACCGATATCCGACGTTAGATATAGAATTATTGACAGAATGCTATATATCGTGAAATTAGTCGAGTTGAACTAATATCCATTTGTTCTACATTACTGGATTTCAACATCACAGTCTTGCTTAAGCAATTGAAGATTCAACTTTTATGTGGTATTTCTCTTCTATTGTATAAATACAACGAGATCTTAAATATTTTACGAGCCGATAAAGAAAGGTATCAATTAGCGTGCAATTTGAAGAATCTGCATACCTCGAAATGTTATTTTGGAATCTATAATCTATCCTAATTCGATAAGTTATTGTGTTCCTTGGAGAACATTAGCCCATTAGTTTGAGATATGTAAACACATCTTACTTAGCCCTATCGCAATAATAACCTCTATTTTCAAATCGGCTTCGCTCACGGATCGAATAACTCATGTTATTCTGGTACAATAAATTATTTGTGACAAAAGTTCTTATTAAATTCTTCGTCTACCACCTGTATCGAGAAATTGTCAAATTTGTTGTTTTTATTCAAGTTATATTTAAGTTATTATTACAGAGGCTAAATTTACTTGAAACAGTTAATAGTTTTCCATATCTGGAACATTGGATGTTGTGATTTGTTATCTAAAGACAATTTGATGTCTGTGATTTATTTATTAAACGAGCTCTAAAATGTTTAGTGAAAACTATTTCTGGAGGACGGTCATAAATCACTATAATAAATAACAATTGATTGTTGTCACTGGAAAATGTTACTGAAAATATGAGCTATCGTCTCAAAATATTATGATGCATAGGCTACACTTTGAAAAATTCTCATTTTAATCGATCAAATAAGCACCGTTTGTTTCATATTCCGCCACTCTTGCCGACAGTGCATTATGTCACGTACACCGGCTATGTTTGATTATGTTATGACATTCTCTAGGCATTTTTGGTATTATAAAGACGTTTTAATTCAAACATTGTTGTAATGAAACTTAACATCATGATTGTCTCAAAATTGCAATGGGAAGAACAAGTTGGAAATGTGCCATATAGTTGGTTCTCTTATAGTAATCATAGAATCAAACACATTGAAATTGTATGACCACGATTGGATAAATTAATCCTTATATTTTAAAAAAAAAATGTTTTCTGCTAGTAAACAATCTTTCAATATTTCAAAGAAATGAATCACCAGTTGTTTTCGAGGTTAATCCCCAGCACGGATAAATTTGTTAAACAGGAATTTCTTAGAGAGACTTCATACGAAGTCAATGCCCCAATTAAAGTTCGTTACAAAAAAATTGAGGTTGCAGTGGCGTTTCTACGAGGAAGGGGGGGGGGGGAACCTATACCACTACCACTGCAGTCAAACTAAACTTCGCGGTTGTAAAATGATCTCGGCGACAGGAAAATATAATACAATTATATATAATTAGTAAAATTATAGTGTTTCTCTATGGTAACATTATATGTGATATCATAAAATCATAACTAATAAATTTCAGTTACAAATTGACGTTAACATAAAGAAATTCAACACATATAATCTTACATCGTAAGTGAACATTTACACCTTTACAGTCGATATTCTGATTTAAACCTTTCAATCTTTGAATTATTGATACTATTTATCAAGAAACAAATAATAGGAATTTTAGGAATTTGTTGTTAAAAGGG